TCCAAATTATAGAATTAAAGCATATAAAGTGGACATTCATACAGTGAGATTGCAGACAGTTCCATTCAATGATCCAACAAAAGCTCAGTAATTTGGCTTTCCATCCTACACACACAAACATGCAGTTATTTCCCTGATACCACCTTCCTTTCCTCTCTTTTTTACAACAAAAATTACACTTTTTGTGTTTTTTTACTCCCACAGTTCTAATTACTTTTTTTGAAGAGAATAAAGCCTAACATGACTAAACAAAACAGATTCAGTTAGAACAGAAGGATAGACATAGTACACAATGCAAAAATAGAATATCAGGTGATCAAAAATGGTTACCATTGTGCCTCTTGCTATTTTTAAGAAGAAGGGAAACCTAAATTTTGAGCTGTCAAAAGTAAACTTGCTAAATTAAGATTCAGATTGTGTTCTGTTTTACTGACTTGTGAATTTATACAGTGACATATCTCTTTATTTATAAGGACCATGGTCTGATGTTTGTGGTGATTATCTTTAAACACATACACTGGGCCATGAGTCCCAGTTGGTTTCCTGTGGCCTGTGGTTTTCACTTCCATTTTAACATTCATATAATTTGTAGAGTGTTTAATGCAGTGTTGTTGAATACAAAATCTGCTTAGGTTCCAATGGAATTATGTTGTTAAAAATGTGATAAGTTAAGTACAGTGTAGCACTGACCCGAATATACTCTCTGTCATCTGTGGGTCTCTATAGTCCTTTCTGCTCACACACTTTATGCCTGAGCATGCCAGCACCTGTTGTGAGTCCCAGAGTCTGCTGCAAGGCCATGGAACACATAGCCTAGTGACTGCCTCCTATATACCACTCTGCTGACGCAGAGCACAGCTTCTGGCAGGAAGCCAGAAGCTCTGAGGCTTTGAGACAACAGAGGTTTCACTTTGTGAACCCAGATAATCTTATATTTCTGTACCACAGACAGCTCTGTCCCATATTTCTACCCAGGAAGACAGAAGATGAATCTGGAGACTGTGGATTAAACAGGGACACTGCCCTTCTGCTCCACCATCCCTGTCTTGGGTGGGAACCTGACAGTGGCCCAGCCTCACAGCTTCCAAGGACCTGCACCTGCCCAGGAAGATCTGTCCTCAGGGCAGGTCATCAGACCCAGTCACACTGTTGACTTAGGGCAGGAATTGTGTAGGGGGACTCAGAGTGGTGGCCAGGCTTTAATGTACCTCTCCTGGAATCCATGAGTCTGAGTGGCTGGTGGCTGAGTCTAGTGATACCTGTCCTGGGCTCCCTCCTGCCTGTGGGTGCCAGAAGGCTGGGGACAGTGAGCCCTGTCCTTTAATGCCCTTGTCATTTGGCATTTGCCAGCAATCATCCTGAAGGCTCTGGGATGAGTGAAACATTTTTTCAGCCATTCCCAAGTGGTCTACCTATGCAGGATCCTGAGGCTGGGCTCTCGTGTCCTGGGAAAGCAGCATAACATGCTCCCTGTTCACTTTCTTGAGCCAACTGTCTGTGAAGACCAACTGTCACCAGACCAATGTGACTGGTGCCCTGAGCCTTCAGAGTTCTGTTTGGACCTGTAACCAAGGAACTGAGGTCATGCACTGGTGTTCACAGTTTGGCCTTCTTCTGTGATATCACCTTTCTTTTTGTTGTGGAACAAATCTATGTCCTCCTTAGAAACAACAAGTTAAAATGCTAGAAAACTGTGTATACTTTTAGATTGCTGCACTTTGAAGATTTTAATGCAGCGAACATGTAGATGCTTCAGATGTCTCAGGCTGGATGTCCAAAACAAATTTCCATCCAAAGTGTCCATTGTTTTGGAGGATGAAGGATTCATTGTCTTCTGCTAAAGATTTGTCAAATGTTAGGATGACTTCTGTCATGGTTTATGTTTGTGTCCCCCAGGCCTCATGAGTTTGCCTTGTTCATTTGTGATGGTTCATTGTATAGTGCTTGGATTGATGGTGTCAGTGCTCCACCCACATAGGGGTGGGGCCAGAATGTGATGTAATGGCAGGAAGAAGGTGTGTCTTTCTCTTTGCTGGTGTGAGTTTGCTGTTGGCAGCCACCATGAACTGCAGCCCAGCCATGCCTTCCTGTCTTGGAGCCAACTGAGTGTGGACTGAAACCTCCAAAAAACTGTAAGAAATAAACCTTTCCTTTCCCAACTTTGGGCTTCAGGTATTTTGTCTCAGCGACGAGTAAAAAGTAACTAAGACAACTTCTTTTCTTGGGCTTATGTTAGTTTCATTTCAGTTCTGTTAGGGAGCAGAATACCCACAATAATTTTACCAAAGAATGTGAAGGTCTCATGTCATAACCCCCATATGTTCAGGGGAGGAGGATTCATAGCCAGTTTTACTCTCACGTGCTTATGAATGATTATTTTTTTCATCCTTAGATGTTTAACTCAGCCATACACTGTAGTGCTCCACACCCTGACTTCCTGTGAGGGGGGACAGCAGGTAGTGAGTACAAAGGGAGGTGACATCATCACCTCGTACTGATGAAGGACACATGTGCATCACTCCTGGGGAACTTGTCTTTTAGCTGCTGCTATCACTTGCTTTCCTCCCATCCCAATCAGACCATGGGCTTTGTGTCCCTGATGGGTAGTTTCCCTTTCCTAGAGGTGATGGCACTTAGCCTTTTCAGTTGTAATGCTCTTTGATTGGTCTCCTTGAAGCAGTGTTTCTATGCTGGACTCTCCCTGTGCTGCCACCACTCACTATTATGGGGCTGAACCAAGCAAATGTGACTTTTCATGCACCTGTCACCCATCTTGTGATGGTCATTTGTTATGTTTCCGGATTGGACCTCGAAAGCAAGCTGCCACACCAATTCATACACAAGCATTTGAGTGGATACTGGCCTTTATTTCAAAGAAAATATATCATATTGCTGGTGTATGGATAACTTAGAAATTCTTACTGTATCTTTGGAAGCAGATGTTTAAAGCAGAGTTATGTGGTTCCTTTTTTATTTTGTTTTGTGTTATTATGCTATACTATGCTATGCTCTGTTATGTTATATTATGCTATATGTTGGTGAGGATTTTGAGAGTCCTTCAGGGTGTTTTCAGTGCTTTCTGATTTGGTTTTGTATAACCAACCTGATGAACTTTGAGAATATCACATAACTCTGAGCACTTTTGTTTTGGAGAAAATTAAAAAAAGAAAACACAATCAGGGATGTTGGTGCACACCTGTCATTCCAGGACTCCAAAGGCTGAGGCAGGAAGATTGTGGTGAGTTTGAGGTTATCCTGGGGTACAAGGGAAGATCAAGTCCAGACTGAACTGCATGGCAAGACCCTGTCTGAAGAAAAAAGGAAAGAAGAAAGAGATAAAAAAATATGATAAAATGAAAAGTCAAAAATCTCCATTCTAGTGAGAAATCAAATCTTTGTGAGGTTTTTTTTGCATGTGTAGTTTAGTCAGCACACCTAGCATAAGGTTTACCATCATGGAGACATTGATGTGCTTCCTGGTGTTTGTAGTCTTTCAATTCTTTAATGCTTTTTACTTAGATGACTGCAGATATGCTGCTGAATATAACCTCTTAGGATTTGGGTAGTTGAAGAGATTTTGATCATTCTGTTTTGTTTTTCTGTCCTGAATTTGTATTTAGAACCAGAATTTGAGCAAGGGATTACTAATTTTATTTTGAAATAATAATAAGAATCATATAAAGATACAATTTTTACATCTATAAAATGATAAAATAAGTATAGATTAATAGTGGTTAATATTCCTTGCTCAGTGACTTCTGAGATTTCTTAATGATCAACATATTCATACGTACATAAACACTTTGGTTTTGTACAAATTTTAAGACATCGTCTTACTAATTTTCTAAGTGTCCCAGGCTAGGCTTAAATGTGCCCTCATCCTTCCTCCCCCTCCCAGAGTGCAGGTGTATATTATCCTGAATTGGCAATTGGTAGCAATGTTGTGTATTCATGGAATAAAATGTTCGGCTTTGGTCTTCAGACACTTTGTAGAAAGAGTCACTATAGTTTAGCTGTCTGCTATCTTCCTAGCCTGCAGCTTCTTTCACAGTGAGTAAGACTGAAAATCCCATTAACACTGTTAGTAGATTTTCTGCTTTTCTATCTGTGGTCAGCATGTGCTTCAGAAGATCACTACAAATGCCTTGTGCACTGGAACTGAAGATTGGTGTTTTTGAAGCAAATTCTTTTTTTCTTTGATCCCTCGTGGAATTTGATGATTGTTTGAATCTAATCGCAAGAAAGGTGGGAAGGTTAAAGCTACTTGTGGCACACTCCCTTCCAGAAGGCCAGGCCAGTGTAAAAAATTATTTACCCTCCTGGTGTCAGTTGCAAAGTTGTTTTTTTTTTTAATACAGAGCTTTGCATTGGCTTCTTTGTCTTCACCTTTTAACACTTTTCTTGTTTTGAGGCAGGTCCTTAAAAATTGCTAAATTGCTGAGACTCACCTTGAATTTGTGATGCTCCTGACTCAGCCTTCCAGACTGCTATGATTATAAGCCACACCACTAGACCCTGTCACAACATAGTGTTATTAAAAACTTATTGGCTGAGCAAGGAATCTTGGAAATGCCTGCAATGCCTGCACTGAATTGGCTGAGGCAGCAGGGTTCCTGGGAGTTCCAGACAAGCCTGCTACACACTCTGAGTTCAGTTCAGGCTACAATGATACAGGGAGACCCTGAACAGGAAAAGAAAAAGAATAGGGAAGAAAAGGAAAGAAAGGAAAGGAAAGGAGAGGAGGGGAGGGGAGGGGAGGGGAGGGGAGGGGAGGAGAAAGAAAACAAAATCCCTAGTGAATATGTGCCTTGCATTGCGTCTGTGCTAGCTGTTTTAGTCTGTGGTCCTTTACTTCCAGTGTAAAACTCTTTTGACTGCTATTACTTTTTAATGCCTGGAGACTAGTATTTAATGCCTCTACTTTTAATGTTCTTTTTGTGGCTATAGGATGACTCTTTGTACTTCCTTGTGAATTTTCATATTTTTTTTTATGTTTCTAGGAAAATGGCACTGATATTTTGACAGGAATGGCACTGAAACACCTGGTTGCTCTGGGTAGCATGTACATTATAACATGGATTCTTCCCATCCCTCATCACAGTATGGCTTTTCTTCTGTTAGTGCTCTTCTACTTATTGCATTCCAAGAAGAGGTGAGTTTGCTTCAATTTCCCTAATCATTAGTTATTTTTGATTATTTGTGAAATGAATTGTGTTCTTTGTTTTTGAGGCTACAATGTGTTTGCATTACGTAATAATGAATTGATTAGGGCATGTTGCTCATGTATCCTGCAATTTAAGTGATCTGTAAATTTGTTCTATAAGGTTGTCAATGGAGTTTAAATTTCCTACATACAATGCTGCACCCTCAGGAAAACTTAATTCTTCCTTTCTGATTTGGAAGGCTTTGCTTTCTTATTCTTGATTAAATTCTATGGCCAAGACTTCGAGTACTGTATGTTGAAAGAGTTGCAAGCCTTGTCTCCTTCCTGACCCTGTTGCTCATTTCTCTTTGCCTCTGTAGAACTCCTCCTGCATGGTCTGTACCAGCATCTAGAGAGGGCTAGGACCCAGAAAAACTGCCTTGAGGTGAACAATGTCTGTTGTGCTGCCAATGATGATTTTGTGGCCTCCAAAGAACATCAAAACTCAAAGGGGCAGTGGCTGCACCTGTTCTGCTTACAGGACCATGGACAATATCCAGAAAAGTGTCTTCACACAGGGTATCCTCATGTGTATTGGTGACTTGATGACAGCCACCCACTTTCCAATGATACCTGTGGGCCATGAACACTTTTCCATCCCCAAGAATTCCTGCCCTGAGCATACCACAAACCCTCTAGAGTGACTCTCCAATCTCCTTTCCAATGAACAGAACAGCTTTCACCAAGTGTGGATCAGTGAGGGGTGTGGAAGGTCATCCCTGGGAATCATCATAGCCTCTGCAGTGGGCTAAGGCCACAGCTATCCCCTTCTCATGGAGCCCCCATTTTCTCCTCAGTGACCTGCACTCTGGATCCATTCAGCACCCCACCATTCAGTGTTGTAAACCGAGGCTGAGTTGTTTGCACATGGCCACGACTTGAATGCACAAGTGGCCAAGTTCCACAGGGCTGCTCATGTAAGAACTTTCCTTCCCCATATCTGAACTTGTCCTGGACTCAGTGTCTCTAAGTGGCTGGTGGTTGAGCCTAAGGACACCTCTCCTGGGCTTCTTCTTGTCTCTGGGAGCCTCTGGCCAGGGGCTGGTGAGTCCTGGCCTGAGATGCCCATGATGTGTGGGTGTTTCCAGCTGAGCTTGTTGATGCCTCTGGACCAAGTGAACCACCCTTTCATACTTTCCCACGTGGTTCAATGACACGGGGTCTTGATGCTAGGGCTGTGTGGCCTGGGAAAGCAGCACAGCATGTTCTCTATTTCCTCTCTCAAGCCTACGGTATATGAAGGCCAACTATCACCAGACTAAGGTGCCTGGTGACCAGAGCCTTCAGAGTTCTGTTTTGACTTGTTGCCAAGGAAGTGAGTTCATGTGCTGTGGTACACAGTTGATACTCCCCGTCTGATGCCTCCTTTCTTTTTATTTGTCCTCCTTATAAAGAGCAAGTTAAAAAACTAGAAAAATATGTGCGTTTTTAGATTTTCTGCACTTTGAAGATTTTAATGAAATAAACACGTAGATGCTTCAAAAGTGGCAGGCAGGGTGCCAAACACACTTTTCCATCCAAAAGATCCTTTCCCTTGAAGATGAGGTGCACAGTGTCATCACTGAGAGATTTCACCAATTTTATTTTGATTGTCTTTTCTGGGCTTATGTTAGTTTCATTTCAATTTCATTAAGGAGCATAGAGATGTTCCCAGAAGACCCATTATAATTTTCCTTGAAGGATATGAAATGTTTCATGTTATAAGACCCATGTGTCCAGGGGAGGAGGATTCATAGCATGTTTTCCTCTCATGTGCCTATGAATGATCACTTTTCATCCTTAGATGTTTTCCTCAGCCACACACTATAGTGCTCTGTACTCTGACATCATGTGAGAAGGGAAAGCAGGTGGTGAGTGCAAGGGGAGGCTTTGCAAGGCTGTGGACATCATCACCTCATGATGATGAAGGACACATGGGCATCACCACTGGGGAACTTGTCTCCTAGCCACTGCTTTCACTTCCTGTCCTCCCATCCCAAACAGACCATGGGCTTTGTGTCCCTGCTGGGTAGTTTGCCTTTCCTAGAGGTGAAGGCACTGAGCCTGTTTAGTTTAGATGCTCTTGGTTGGTCTCCTTCAAGCAACATCTCTGTGCTGGGCTTCATCTGTGCTGCTCCTTATTGGTGTTGGTGCTACCACACACTCTCATGTGGCTGAACCAAACAAGTGTGACTTCTTCATGCATCTCTCACGCATCTGCTGATCCCATTTGTTCTGTTTCCAGGTTGGTCCTTGAATGCCAGCTGCCACAGATCTTCTCATACATGGTCTTGAGTGGACTTTTCTTTCAAAGAAAAATACTTAGATGTGAAATTGCCAGATTATTTGGCTTGTGTATGGTTAACTTGCAAACTGTTAAGGTACCCTTGGAAGCATTTTTAATAATCAGAGTTAGGTGGTTGTTTCCTTTTTTGTATTGGGGATTGAACTTAGGACCTCATGTTTGCCGAGTGGGTACTTATACTGCAGAATTAAAGCTCCATCCCTGTTTTCTTATTTTGTTTTGCTTTGTTTTGTTGTGTTCTTTTATACTATACTATATTATGTTATGTTATGTTATGTTATGTTACACTATGTTTTGTGTTCATGAGGACTTTGAATCTCCTTCAGTGTATTTTCAGTGCTTTCTGATTTCATTTTGTGTAACTCACATGATAAAATATGAGAATATCACATAATTCTGGGTAATTGTATTTTGGAGAAAATTTAAAAAGGAAATGAGAGCCAGGTTTGGTAGTAAAAGTCTGAAATGCCAGATGTTACAAGGCTGAGGCAGCAAGATTGCTGTGACTTGAGGTCGGCCTGAGCTACAACGTGAGTTAAAGGCAGTTTGAACTTCATTGCACAACCCTGTCTCAAAAATACATAAATCAATCAAAATAAAAATACATTTAAAAAGGTTTTAAAAGAGACAAAAATCATCTATAAATGGACAAATCTAATCTTTGTGAATTTTTCTTACATATGTACTTTAGTCAGCACAATGAGTATTAGGTTTACCATCAAGTAGACATTGATCTTCTGCCAAGAAGTTGAACTGTTTCAATTTTTTGACCTTTTAAATGAAATGAATATAGATATGCTACTGAATATACCTGCTCAGGATTTGGAGAGCTTGGTATGAAGAGAATTTAATGGTTCTTCTTATTTTTGTACTAAATTTATATACAAAAGTCAGATTTGAGAAAAGGGTTACTTTACTGCTTTTTAAAAAATCTTTCTTGTCTTATTTTAATGTATCTCAAGTACATATTATTAAGGACCACATCAAAGATGCTATTTTTAAGTCTATAAAAGGATAAAAAATTATACAGAATAAGAATAAAAGAATAATATTATCTAATGTGTTGTGCACAACCATTTCTTGGATTTCTTAATGATCTATATTTTCATACATTAGTAATATTTGTTAATATTTTTATAAATTTTAAAGCATGATCTCACTAAGATTGTGAGTTTCACAGGTCAGGCTTAAAACTTTCCTTATCCAATCTCCATCCCCCTCCCAGAGTGCTAGGATTGCAGGTGTTCATTATCCTGAGTCGGTAATCAGCAGTAATTTTGTGCATTCATAGAATGAAATAATTGGCTTTGATCTTTAGATCACACTTTGCAGAAAGAGTGGATCTAGTTAACCAATCTACTACCTTCCGGACTGGCAGTTTCTTTCACAGTGAGTAGGACTGATAATCTCATTAACACTTTTGGTAGATTCTCTGCTTTGTAACTGTGGTCATCATGCACTTCAGAATATTACTGCAAATGCCTTCTGCCCTGGGACTGAGGCTTGGTGTCCTTGAAGCACATTCTGTTTTTTGTTTTTTAATCCCTCATAGATTTTGATGGTTGGTTCAAGTCAAAATCCAAGAAAGGTGTGAAAGCTAAAGCTACTTGGGGGACACTGCCCTCCAGAAGCCAAGGACAGTGTAAAATATTATTTTCTCTACCGTCGGACTTTCCAAGTTTTTTTGTTTTGCATTCAGTTTCTCTGGATTGAATATTGAGGTCTGCACTTAGCTCCATGACTTTCCACATTTAAAATTCTTATTATTTTCTTCTAGCTTCTTGATAAGTGGCTGCATTGCTGAGGCTTTCCTTAAATTTGTGATGTTGCTGCCTCAGCCTTCCAGACCACTGGCATTACAAGCCACACCACCAGACCTGATTTCATCATCGTGTTGTTAAAAAATTGACTGTGCAAGGAATGGTGAAAATGCCTGCAATGCCTGCACTCGCTACCCTGAGGCAGCAAGATTTCTGGGAGTTCCAGACAAACCTGCCACACACTCTGAGTTCAGCTCAAGCCAGAGATACACAGGAAGACCTTGACCAAAAATGAAAAAGAAAAAGAAAAAAACTAAACAAAAGGGAAGTGAAGTAAAGCGGAGGGGAGGGAGGAAGGGAAGGGAGAAGAAGAAAGGAGAGGAGAGGGGAGGAGAGGACCCAAGAAGCAAAGCTTACAGCTTGTCAGCCTCTGAGCAGGATGTCAGGGATGGGCTTGTCATTTATGTTCTTTGCTGTGTTGAGATTCATTCCTCCTACACATGGTGTGTGAATGGTTCCTATCATGAAAGGATGGTGAGCTTTTGAATTTCTCAAAGTGATTTTTCCAAATCTCTTGAGTGGTCAGCTGTGCCTCATGCTGTGAATGTGGCAAGTGACACTGAATGATTTGTGCAAGTGGAACCATTCTAGTACCACTGAGAGTGAACCCAGTGTTTATTGTGGTGTTTAACTTTTGCATGTGCTGGTGAATTTAGCTGATGAGCATTTAGTTTAATATTTTTGTTTATGTTCATTAAGAATATTGGCCATTAGAGTATTACTATTTTTTAATGCATTATGTTCAAGCTTTGTTATCAGGGTGACTTCATCATCTAAAGGGAGTTGAGTGTAGTTCCCTTCCCTTGCAAGATGTGAAAGATGATTAGTATTTATTCTTTTTCAGAATTTTATTTTGAAGGTAGTAAAATACAACAGAGCAAGACAGAACAAAGCAAATCAAGTCAATGCAGTGAAGTTGGTACAGAGCTTCACAGCAGGGTACCATGATAACAAGTAACAGGTACCACAGTATATCTTGTTATCTTCACAATAATTTTTCATTCAATAAATTATAGCACAGTCAAACCAAAAAAGAACACTTTAAAACCAGCAAAAGAGAATATTGAATAGAGCAAAACCATTAATCTTAACAAAGCAGAAGATTAAAGACAATATTTGTCTTCAAACAGAAGATGCAAGGGAATTCCCCATATTTTCTATATTGCACACAGTCATATTCCCAAGAGATGCTCAGAACTCTGCCTCCTGTTGCTCACCAGGGGGTGAGCAAGTGGGATATATGGTTCTCAGTCCATGCACCAGTAGGCTTACTGGAGATGGTGACTGGTTCTCCTCCTGGATCCCTCCAGGGGTGCTTGCCAGGAAGGCCTGAGAATTGTTTTTTTGTTCTGCTGCCTAAGTCCCAACATGGCCAGATCCAGTATTTATTCTTTATTATACACTTCATACAACTCAGCAGGGTAGTTCTTGTATCCTGGCATTTGTTGTTGTTATTAAGCAGTTATGATTATTGATCCATTGCCTGTGTTGGTTATTGCTCTGTCAAATGGTGTGTTTTCTCCAGAGGGTGTAGGTCCAGGAGACCAAAGGAGATCATGTACACACTAAGGGTCATGTCTCATTTTACTTAGGGACATAGCAATTTACTTTTGTATCTTCAAATTTCCCCTACAGTATATATTTTTGTGAGTAATCTGTTAAGTTATTATGTCTTTTAATGCACATAGATGCAGGGTGCAGATACTCCTGGAGGACACTGGGGCAGGCTAGGGCCAGGTCTCTTATTTCAGGATTTTTACACTTACCTGCCTCAGGAGTGTCCCCACCTCCTCACTTGCTCCCTGTAAACACCTGTCCTGCTCCACAGTTGTGGTGATGCCACATGCGGCAGTTGAGATCTCACCTGGGTGGAAGACATTCAGTCAAGGTGGGCTCTGTAACAGGCTGACTTTCTCATACAGAGCTCTGCTGAGTGAGACAGGTGGTCTCAGGCCATCAGGGAGGAGCTCTGGCAGCAGGGCCACACCAGCCCTCTCTTATCTGGTGTGCTGCTTTGCTGAGAAGCAGTGTGTGCTGCTTTGCTGAGAAGCTGACTGATGGATCAGGAGGCCTGGACTTGGGCCTTTCTTGCCCATTATTCCCTACTAGATTCCCTGGTGTCCTCCAACTCTGCCTGATCCATCCTCCCCAAACCTTAGATCTTCACAGAGACCTGGCATCCTCGTGCTTCCCCTTCCAGGCTCCAAATCTGTGCTTAGTTCTAGTGTGAATTCTAAGACCAGGAAAATCAGTTGACATACATTTAACCTGAAATTCCACTTCTAATGCCTCATTAAAATAAAATGAGATTGACAGACACCTTTAATCCCTTCTTCCTCAGTTATGAGTGTGGATAGTTAGAATCCGTGAATGTGTCAGAGCAGAGCTGTTGAGTCAATTATAAAATTATAGTCACAGAAAATGCTGAAAGATAGCTTTGTCTTAGACCACTGAAAATGTGGAAAGAAGGCCAATTTCTTGGCCATGTCCCGAGATGATAGAAGAGCTCATGTTCTGGCCCCTCTCCACCCAGCGGTGAAGAGACACAGACCCAAATCACAGGCAAGGACAGGAAAGAGAACCTCCTGCAGGGCAGCCCTCTGATCCTGGGAAGGATGCATTTGTGGTGTTTTTTTCCGTTTTCCACTCCATTGCATTATTTATAGTATTCTATTCAATATTCCTTTTATTCAATTCAGTTAATATTTAATAGTGGCTAATGTCTTGAATAGGTATATGAAGATGGATGATTTAATTTCATTATGTGTAATGAAAATTATGCACAATACATATGCTTCAAATACAACTGTAGATACAAAATAAGGAGGCTTGATATTCAGCAAGCCAACACATCATTCATGACTAACTTTTAAAAACTCCAACTCATAAAGCCATGAGGACCCCAATGTTGTGTGTGTTGCTGCCCTCCCTACCTTAGAAGCCATCACGCTCTCCTGTGGCTGGTACTGCCAGAGGACAGCAAGGGTTTTTCTTCAGAGTCTATTTTTCCTGAAAGATGTCCTGAACCTTCCTGCTATCATGCAGAGCAGGGAGGGAGCAGCATGCAGAGGAGCCCAGCACTGCCTGCCTTATACCCCTTTCCCCCTCTGCATCCATGCTGCAGCTTTGCAGGCAAGGGAAGGCATAGAAGCCAGGATGCAGCAAAGACTCTGCCACCTCAGCCCCAGGGGCCTCAGTTATGGGGTCCTGGTCTCACCCTCCACCAGGATGCAGGTGCTGCCCTGCATTCATCTGGCTTAGTGGGCTGGGCATACCCTTTAGCCCTCAGGGGAGGAAGACCACTGATACAGTGGCCCTTCTAGTCTGCAAATTTTGCTTCTCTCCTTTCTGACTGAGACTGTGGCATTGAAACAAAGCACAGCATTGTCATTACATTTCTTTTTCTTCTGCTCTTTTTGTGGTTTCTTTTTATTTAAGCATATATTTACAACTGCATTTTGCAAAAAAAATTTCTTTGTCTTTTCACTCCTCAGTTGACAGAAGTTTTTACAGATTTCTACTGTAGTTCAAACCCTATGTGCCTGAATGCTCAGAATGCACTTACCAACTTGATAGAATGAGGGAAGCAAAGGAGAAACTGAACTTGGGGACATTTCTGTGCCTTTCAGCATTTTGTACAGCAAATCCTGACTCATGCCTGTTTACCCACAAAATATGGGCTTCAGTACCAACTGAATCTGCCACTGACAAATAAGTTTCCTGCATTTACTTCAAACAATCTCATTTCCACCAGCTGGCTAAGTGCGTTGTGTAAGCTTTATTATGCCTAAACTTGAAACATAGTTTCCAGTAAACCAAAAGTTGCTACCCATCCTGAAATCATGATGGGATTTTATGTAAACATATTCTGATTCACATCATGGCCACCATGAGCTGAGAGAGGCGGAGAGGGCTTATGCTGATAGAAACACCTCAAAATTGTCAACCAGCAGCAGCTTCAAGGCGCAAGCAGAACTGCTGAGCCTTCACAGTTGCCTGATAGAATCATCTGGAGGGTTTTGCCCA